TTGTTTATCTTCTTCTTCTTAAAGAAAACCAAAAATTATAATGGGAAGTATTGCTTCAGAGAGAACTGCCACAGGATGGGCAGCAAGGGATCCAACTGGTGTTCTCTCTCCTTACACCTACACACTAAGGTACTAATTTTTCATATACCCCCTCAATTAATTTCTTGCTCTAACTTTTATCATTTTTGGTAACTAATATGCTTGATTTGTGTGTATAGGGCGACCGGACCGGAGGACGTGGTGATCAAAGTTTTATATTGTGGAATTTGTCACACTGACATTCATCAGACCAAGAATCACCTTGGAGCGTCCAATTATCCCATGGTCCCTGGGTAAGCAAAGTCCAGAGTAAAAAAATATATATATATTTATATATTTGTGTAGTGCTGAATTGTTATCAGGATTAGTTACAATATGGTTTTAAGTGGCTAAACTCCTCGTTAAATTTGAGGGTTAATTAGATTGAGGATAGAAGATTATTTTACGGGTCGCCCTTAAACAGGTTTGGGCCTAAACTAGTTTGAATAAGGAACAAAATTCGAACTTAAAACCGGTCTAGTTCTGGCTCGATCAGTTTTTGCCAAACAATACCTTGTCGTGAGTATAAATGTTGATAAAATAGTTAATATGGCTAAATTATTATTAACGATATTGATGTTGTCGATTAATTTTTTTTTTCTTCCTCCTGGTGAAGGCATGAAGTGGTTGGGGAAGTGGTGGAAGTGGGACCCGACGTAAGTAAGGTCCGGGTCGGGGAAACCGTCGGAGCCGGCTGCATCGTTGGGTGCTGCAGGGAGTGCGGACCGTGCAAATCCAACATAGAGCAATACTGCAACAAGAAGATCTGGTCGTATAATGATAAGTACACCGACGGCAAGCCGACCATGGGCGGGTTCGCCTCTTCCATGGTCGTCGACCAAAAGTGAGTAAACCTTCTGTGTGTGTGTTTTTTTTTTTCAATCAACCAACCAACCTTAAATTAAATTGCAATTATAATGTAGTTTCCTATTTGATTATGAGCTTTGCTACAGGGACTCAAATTATAGGACCAACAGGAGCACATGTGATATCTCTCACTCCTATTGCATAATGAGTAAGGTCTACACATTATACAATAGGAGGGGGACACCTCACTTGTCCCACTGTTGGTCCCATATTTTGAGTCCTCATGGAATTTTTGTTTGATTGTATATGTTTGGGATTGGACCGGAATTTGACGGGTGGCTTAGAGATTTCAAAGGGTTGATCAATCCGTTGAGGAGATTATTTATATAATGTATCACCTAACATTTGGTAGCCAAGGCAAAAAGAATCTTACATTAGTTCACATTATCCTTTACTGATAATACATTTCATTTTATCTTATGTAAGCCTTCAAAATAGGTCGCGTACAAAATCGCTGTCTCTGTACACAAAGCTGCCGGCAAAATGAGATTAATTTACACCATTCATTTATTAAGAAAATAAAAGGTCCGTGCCAGTACAAAAAAAAAAAAAAAAACACATGATTGTCTGCGGCCATAAGCGGAAAAAAAAAAAAAAAAAAAACACATGATTGTCTGCGGCCATAAGCGTTTCAACAATCGTATGAAGTCCGCGGTCTTTCTTTTTTTTTTTTAAGCCAGGCCGCAATAATTTGTTTCCTAGTCCTGCTGCTGAATAATAACAGCTACTACTATTTTGAGGTTGTCTCTTTGTTTCTGGAGTCCACAAACTTGACATCAAAGATAAGAATTTAGCGAAGGGTCAACATCGGAGGTTGGTAGAGGATGGTGAGATTTGGTTAATGGGGTCCAACTTCTCTCTAAAGCTTTCTTATTATGAGTTAGATTAGAAGATGACATATGATAACTTATTAGAAGAAAAAAATGACGTGCGTCTAACTTAGAAATCTCTGGAAGAACAAATGTAAAAAAATACTTTTGAAACTTTGAATAGTTCAAAATAAATATTGCAAATAAAAAAAAACAAAGAAGGGTAGTAACGTGACAACAACCAGGAGATAAAACAAGAAATAGATATTTTTATAGAAAGTTAGAGACCATTTGTATTTAGAATAAAATGAGAAGGAATCATATGAAGCGGTTTGGCCATATGCAACGGAAGCTACTAAAAATAATAATATAATAACCTAACTGAATGAAAGAATAAGATTCATGAACTCGTCTTAAAAAAAAGTATTTGTAGTGGTTGTTACTTACATTTCAAGAATTATCCACCAATTCCGATCAAGAACTAACATATAAATATTTTCCTAAAATAGGTTCGTAGTGAAAATCCCGGCGGGTCTAGCCCCAGAGCAGGCCGCACCCCTCCTCTGCGCTGGAGTAACAGTATACAGCCCGCTCAGATACTACGACCTCACGGCCCCCGGACTCCGAGGAGCCATCCTCGGGCTAGGAGGCGTCGGGCACATGGGAGTCAAGATCGCCAAGGCGATGGGCCACCACGTCACGGTGATAAGCTCATCGGATAAGAAGAGGAAGGAGGCGATGGATGACTTGGGCGCCGACGCGTACTTGGTTAGCTCGGACGAGGCTCAGATGGCCACCGCACTTGATAGTTTGGACTACATTATTGACACCGTGCCCGCGCTTCACCCCTTGGAGCCCTACTTGGCTTTGCTTAAGGTTCACGGCAAGTTGATTATGATGGGGGTCATTAACCAGCCTATGCAGTTCATCACTCCTATGATTATGTTAGGTGAGATCCTGATATTTGATATGGTTTTTTTCCCTCTCTCTTGGTCATCGCTAATATTATGTTTCTTGTTGTTGAATACTTACGTGTAACTTATCCATTTTTGCTCCCTGAATTAGTTGAACAATTACTATTGATGATAGTGAGGCCTTTAGTATTGCGAAATTAATTTGGTAATCTAAATTGTGCATTTGTTGGTTGTGGTATTAGGGAGGAAAATGATTACAGGAAGTTTCATCGGCAGCATAGATGAGACAGAAGAAGTATTGGAATTCTGCAAGAAGAAAGGGTTGACCTCCATTATTGAAATGGTGAAGCTGGATCAGATCAACGAAGCTCTCGAGAGGCTAGAACGCAACGATGTGAGGTACCGGTTCGTCGTGGATGTCGCTGGAAGCAATCTCAACCCTTGATCGAAGAAAACGAAGAAATCGACACGATGAAGTGATCTATATGAGATCATTTCTGCATTTATCCTTGTCTCTCTTTTCTTGATTCTAAAAAAAAGAAAAAAAAAAGAAAGGCCTGTCTGTTTGTACGTTTATACGAGGGATTTCAAACCTGTGTTGTGTTTTTGGATGTTTGGGGTTTGTGGAGTGTGATTTGTATTTGTTATGTGTGAATTATTTGCTTGAAAGTATATTTCATGATCGTTATTATACACCCTAGTTTTTTTTGAAAGTCTGAACAAATGTCAAGCATCATCTCATCCTCAGGTTAAGTTGTTTGGCTGTAAACCAACGGTTGCATACTGAAATATGGCCTCTCTTGACGGCGTCGATTACCACTTGAATAAGGCGATTCTTCCATAAATTTGGGAGTTTAATTCCATAGCATGTTCCCTTCAAAGTTATGTCAGTACAATGTATGAATTTAGGGGGGGAAATCCTATTAGAAACACACTATGGGATATATACATGGAACAGAAGAACATGACACATGTTCCACTATCAATTCTAAATCAGTGCAATCAGTATACAATGTCAGTGCAATCAAAATATGTATGTAATCCAAATGTTATAATAAAGCAATCAAGACACTATTGGTGCAATCTTCAACTTCAAAATCTACATTGAGACTCTCATCACATTTTTCTCTCTCTCTACGTGATTTTCTATAGAGGAATCTTCCTAGGATTTATTTTTCCGTGAATATAGAGAATAGAGAAAATTTTGGGCCTCTGTCACGGGCGTAGAGGGTAGGCCCAAGCTTCAGGGGAGCTTTTGGCCTGCTTTTCGCTGTTTGTACTTCTCTGTTCTAAAGTGCTCGCGAGCATCCACAGGCCCGCGCTCATACACGCGCTATGCCTAGACAAATTAAGCTATTTTCTTCTTTGATCAACTAATAAATACTGAGATTTTTTATAATTCTATTACTTAGTTCAATGGGGTTTCTTATTAATTTCTTCAGTTTTATTTGTCAGTGACAACTGTGGGGTCATATTGAAGATATATATATTTCTAAAACTTGAGCTACGTAATTCGCCCGTGAAAGTTCGTAAGGTTTTTTTCAGCACATGTAATCAAAACTTGAGCTTTTCTACATCACTGGGCCAAACCAATCTAATTTACGAAAGGCCCATTAACAAACAGTACGATCAAAAGAACGGTTCAGATGTCTCGTAAACTATAGTCTTAAATCCACCCACGATCCTTGTCTCCAAATTAAAAAAAAAAAAAAAAGTTAATCAGCGTGCGAGAGCGCCGAGCGGCAACTTTATTTTGAGAGCAGCGAGCGAGAAAAAGAAAGGAGAACAAAGAGGGCGAGAAGGTCCTCGCCTACCACGGCCCCCAACTCTACGAAGCCAAGGTTAGGGTTAGGGTTAGGGTTTCCATTCCTCTTCTTGATTTCTCCTCATTCCTGTTCGTTTAAACATCTTTTCCGCTAAAATTCAGTTCTATTTTCATCGTTATGATTGCTGCGGTAAGTAGTAGTTGTGGATTTAGAATCTTGAATTAGCATTAGGTCAGCTCAAGTATTGATTTTGTTGAAAATCTGGGTGATATCTCAGTGTCACTATAAAAATTGACTAGTGAAACGAAACAAAGTGGGGCTAGTTTGAATCAAAGAACTCTAAACACGAAAATTCTGTTGATCTAGATGTAATTTTCCCTATTTTAGGAATTAAATTTTGTTGATCATTTTTTTTATGAATAGGCTTATGAAAACAAATTTTTGGGCATAACATTTCGTTTTCTTATGCAGTGTTATAAACTCACTAATCTAATGGAACAAAAGTTGATTATAAGATTAGTTAGATGTGAGAGGTTGAGAGACTTTGGTTGGAAATATGAGGTGTGACCGTGTGAGTCTATTAATCATTTCCTTGATTGGTTTCCCATGTCTGCTTACAACAAAAAAGACAACACCAAGTCTGGATAGGAACTAGGATGACCTTCTATATTGTAGGAAAAGTCCAAGTAGGTGAGAGAGAAGTCTTTTTCCCTCACAACTTTTGGAGACATGCATATCCAAGGATGATTTCGACTACAACTTGGGCCTTATAAGCACCAGAAGTTCAAAGGCATGAAGAAAAATTAGTGATAGACTTCAAAAATATCCTATGGCCAAACTTTGCCTCTCTTGGGAGGGATAGGACAGCTGTTTGAGTTTGGTTCCCGACCATCAAAAGAAGCAAATTTTCTCTTTTCAAACTACAATTATTTCTTTTGGTAAATAGAAATTTTAGTAGATGTCTTTCAGTCCTCTTTGATCCAAGGATATGCGTTTCACGCATGTGGAGTCCTATATTGAGTAATCTTAGGGGGCAAGTTTGTTCTTTCTAAAGACATAGGAATGAGATGAATTACCTAACTAGTCACTTGCAGATGAGAGGTGTTGTCATTTCTCGAAAGTGGTTTATCAATTTGATCATGAAACATCACTGAATTGTTGAACCAAACCTATGGTAAATCAGACGGGAATGGCTTGATTTTGATTGAAGAAAATCCTTTCTGTTGGATTGCCCATCTAAACTGGCGGTCACTAAAGAGAAGAATTTGGTTTACCACACGAACATGTGTATGGAGCATGGAAAAATTGTGAATGGTAGGTACAAGGCACATTTATAAATGTTTGTTTGTTTGTGTATTATTGAAATTAATAATTTATATGGGATCAATATTGTTTATCAATTCACATATCATGAGAATTAAAATTACTATAACATTTTATGTTTCCTTTATTATGTAGAGTATGAATCAGAAAACGACTTGTTTTGAACCTACACCAGTTCAGACTGAAACAAAGTTGAGCCTTATGCAACGATTTCAACAAGTGTATGTGAAGTATTGCAGTGTAAGATATATGTCCAAGAAGTGTATGACAAGTGTTTTAAATCGAAACATGTATTATATAAGTGAACACACGTTTGAATAAGTGTATCCATATATTCAAGAAGTGTCCAAGGAAATTTTGGTGTCCGGTACAAATATGACTTCATGTTAGAACTTCGAAGTATACCCATCCTATAGCATTTTCCATGCTATAGCATTTTCCCCTCTCTCCAAAGACCATCATGCTTCTCCTACTATTCCTTCTGTATGACTGTATCATACAAATGGTGAAAAGCATTTCCACTTTATTGGCATCTTTCAGACAATGATTTTAAGGCAACATTTCTAGGCATTTTATAGAGTGATCTAGCAAGTTAGTCGAGTATCGGCACACCTGCCTTTTTTACAATCTGACTGTTTTCAGTTCAATTGCACCATTAATAACTAAATATTAGGGCATTTATTGGACTTAATTCAGTACCTAAGTTGATGGAACAAAATTAAAAAGGACGCATGGGACTGTTATTATTTATAGACCAGTCCAATTTAGTCGATTAGAGTACATTGTGTTTTCCCATAATTGTATGGATGTTAACTTATGGTCTTTCTTCTACTTGAAAACTTAGTTTTTGACTTTTGCCTGCATGTTATATCTCTAGATGTCCATTCTTCATGGTTATACTTGTAATTTTTATCCCTTTCCCCTATCAACTATTGAACTATTGTATGGCATATACACAATGTTTTTTATAATTATTATCCCTTCACTCAGGGATCGTCTTTGTAGCATTGTAGGTATGTGATATATGACTTTGTCGCCTTGGGTGGCTTTTCACATTTAAAACTCTGCTCTCAATTCAAAGAAAAAAAGGACATTAAAATGTCAAGGTGACATTTCTCCTCTGATTTATACTAGTTCCATTTTAGGTTACTAGTTACTAGAAGCCAAATAGGCCCTTAGGAAACTTGCATGTATCTTCTATGGGTAGTTTTTTGGATGTAGATCTCAATTGTTTACACTAGTAGAATTAGAAAACTTGATATAGTTGGAAAAAGGTGCAATCTCCATCTAGGCAAGTTTTTAGTTGTTATCTCATCAATTTAATTGAAGCAGACAAGTCTGTAAGAGCGGATTAATGAATGATCAAGAAAAAATTACCATGAATATTTAAAGCGTGTAATTGCCTGCAAACTGATAGGTGGACGCTTTACATGTTTCACACTGATAGGTGGACGCTTTACGTGTTTCACACTCACTATTATGTTCTGCGTTTGGAAATTTGATCGCTCTCTGTTGCGGATCGTTGTGTTAGATACTAGTTTTGGGGGTGAATTAATATCTAATTATGATTGTTGTAGAGCTTAGTTCTGTAAAAACATTACTATCATTTTAAAATCTTTGACTCCATCTTGTCTTTGTTAAGGTGCAAAAATCAGAGTCACGTAAGGATGAATGGAGATATTATGTCCATTATCTTGTAAGTAGTTTCCTGTTCTTTTTTAAAAAATATTTTTGGCATGTCTACTTTCATGACTCCGTTTGGAGTCTCTCTGGATCTTATTGTTTAAGATGAAAAAATGTTAGGACATGTTTTTAATGTTAATTTATACTTGTCATTTCCAAATGTTTACTAACTAAAACTTGCTATCTTGCAGGGTTGGAGCAAGAAGTAAGTATATATTGGATGCAGTTGATTCAAGTATTATCATTTATGTTGTATTGTGTCAATTCATATTTTTTTAGGAAACATGTTTTGTTTTCTAAATAATTTGTTCCTTTCCTCTCATGCAACACTTTCTGATAAATTTTCCTACTTGCTGGAATGATAAGTTTTAAAATTCTTGTGTTTTTATGGGGTTGAAGGAAGATTATTAACTTATGTTTGACACAACATGTGTGAATTTTAGCGTAAATATTGAGCTGTGCCTGTTTTCAGAATAGATGGTGTATTTTATAGAACCTAGAACACTGAATACCATAGTTTCTCTATTGCTATGCAAATAGCAGAATTCATAATTTGCACAAATTTGAGAGGCTTATGCTGACTTTTATCTTTTCTCAAGGATGCATAGGCATCTGAGATAGGCAGGAGCCTCGCCCCTACATGAAGGTTTTGCTTACTGAGCAATAATGATTCATGAATAAGTTAACAAGCAAAAATAAAAACTTTTTCTTGCTAATTTTAGAAGATCTTGTTGCAGAAGAATGGTATTTGACAGAATGGAGTGAAGCCCAATGGACTTTTGATACAAACTTTACGTGTTCATTTGGATTTATTGAGAATGCTGTCCATGAGTTTTCACATGGACAAATAATGGAATTATATTCATTTTGCTCAAACCAGAGAACAGTACAAATAATGGACTTATATTCATTTTTTTCAGACCATGAGTTCTTACCATCTGAGGTGTAGTTCAAAAGTTAAAGTTTGTAAGTGAGTTGTGGAAAGTCCTAGATTTAAGACTCCAAATGCTGACAGTTATCTTTGCACGTAGATTCTTGGTATATTAAGATTTATATATGGGTTTCTACGCTTGTTCAACCTTCACAAATGCTACGTTGCAAACTTGCAGTGATAGAGTAGATTAAAAGATGTCTCAACAATGTTCTATAACATGGTTCCATTGCACATTCGTTCCGGAAGCACTAGTATATAATCAGATTGTGCTTTGATTAAATGGATTACGCTGAATTACACGAATCAGAAGCTCATAACAATATTCATTTCAGTTGGCTTGTACAGTATAATTTTCTTCCTAACTTAATTGTTATAAGCATGCTTTTTTCTTATAGAAAATAATTGTTTTCCACTTTGGACTTGCATTTACAGCTGGGATGAATGGTTGGAGGCTGACCGTATGTTGAAATTCACCGATGAAAATGTTCGTAAACAAAAGGAGCTCAAAAAGCAGAGCACGGAGAAAAGTTCTAAATCTGGGAGGTCAATACAGAATAAGCCAAAAAGCTCAAATGGTTTGTTTAATTCTCTTAATAGTTGCTTCTTGGTAGTTGCTTGAAACCAACATTGATATCCTTGTGACTGTGAGCTGAGGCTCTTTTGGATGCAAGTGTATAAAGTTATATATGCAAACTTCTATATATTAAAAGCATGCACAAATGGAACATATTTTGCTTTCTCATTGTTCTTAGTTATAAAGTATTGTAATATGCGCTTTCACTGAAACAGATGCAAAATTGGACAAAGAGGAACATAGGAACCTTGGTGAGTGGATATCCTGTCTTAGTTATACATGTTGGCTCGTCAAAAAGTATTTCGAACATCAATTCATGGCTGATCCCATTCTTGAATCATTGATGTTTTCGTTTCTCGCCAGAAATACGTAATTTTACTTTTCTTATTTCTTGTCAAATCTATCTATATCTGTCGATTTGAGAATTATATACTCGAGGTTTGTTCATTTATTATGCTTTTAAAGGAATGTAGTAGGCCATGACTAAGTCTATTTGGATTTTTTGTGAAAGCAACTTAATACCCGGTCCAGCAGTTGTATCTTTTGGGCAGCTGATAACTGTCATATAATTATGGCACTTGGATACTTGGACAATATCACCCTTTATGATTTTTAGGAAGTAATTATTCTGCATTTTCCATTTGATTGGACTATAACAGGGCTGTTGAAAATATGCATTTCTGGTTCTTGGATACTAATGTGCTTTGATTTCCATCCTAAGTAGTTTCCAGTTTTTGCTCGAGTGTACTACCTTGTTAACTGCACTTTAGTTATAAAGGGTGAAAGTTGTCTATTTTTCAATGTTCGATGTGTTGTAGATTTCGATAGTCATTGTTTTGCATTTTCGGTTTGATATGTTTTATATCAGCATCTGATAGCAATTCAAGATAAACAATTTTTTTCTTGGTTGATTCTGAGCCCCATTAGATTTGTTTTTATTTCTGAGTGGGGATGAAAATAAGTAACCTAATGTGTTCACTGTTCACTGAATCAATTTACTTGGGTTGTCTCTCATTAACTGGAGAATTGCTAATGCTATTTTCTTATGTTTGCCCCATTGGGGACGTTTATCTCACAACTAAATCAACTAAAAAGAGTGCAACTTCTCTAACTGGATGGCCGTATCAATAGGGGTTGTTGTTGTTATTCCCCCTCCCTATGCATGAGTTGGTGAATTACTGGTCATGTTCTGATGACCTTATAAACTCATCCGTGATGATTTACCAACTGGCTCTCCGATAGACTCGTAGATAGAATGGCCTTTAATCGACTCCTTTTGGAGCTGAGGGTAAAGAGAAAGATAGAGAAGAAATAGTTTTTTCGCCTGAGTGTTCCTTTAGAGAAGAACCACGCAAATAAATAGGATCCATTTTCCCCTATTTCAGCAATTATAAGAAGTGCAAATGGAGAAAAAAATTAGTTGTAGTGGGTCTTTCAATATAAGGGGGCCTTGCTTTGCGAAGGTTTAGGGAATCTCAGCAAGCTATATTGGGGAAGTGGTTATTGAATAATGCTAAGCAAGAGGAATCTCTGTGGACCATGGTGATTAGAAGGAAGAAAAGATTTATGAGTCAGAAGATCTTCGTAGAAAGAGGAGCACTGCCTCTGCTCTTTGTGTCGGTTATGTCAATGAAACAAGCAACCGTGTTTATGAGTTTTTCATCCAATATTTCACAACCCATGGCATATGTTATGTTGATGAAACAAGCAATCTCTTATGGGTATTGTGTTTGTGTGTTTTTTTTCCTTCTTCTTTTTGGGTTGAGGGGAGGGGAGTGGTGGTGGTGGTTAAAATTGGCCATAATTATTTTATCTTTGAGCAAGAATTGGAGAATTATTGGTCATATGTCGGTTATGTTAATGAAACAAATCATGTGTGTGAGTTTTTATCCAAAATTTCACAACTTATGATGCACTACAGAAGCATGAGAAGCGGCTAACTGCTAACCAAATGTAGCATTAGTGGGTGTCAGGGTATTGGTGTGCGTGCATGCAGAGAGAGATGTTACTTTACTTAGAATTATCCAGAGAGAGATATGTTACTTAGAATTATCCACAATGACTCTGGTGCTTTTCTTAACTTAGAGAGATGTTACTTTACTTAGAATTGTCCACAATGAACCTGGTGCTTTTCTTGACTTAGAGAGAGAGAGATGTTGCTTTACTTAGAATTATCGACATTGACCGTGTTGCTTTTCTTGACTTAGAGAGAGAGAGAGAGATGTTACTTTACTTGGAATTATCCACAATGATTGCGGTGCTTTTCTTGACTTACTCATTTCTCAGTCAAATTTTCACTCATTATAGCCTATGTTACCTACATACTTCTGTCATGAATCCGTATCTTTACCCAATATGGTGACACATACCCATACTCATACCCAAACTTCTTGGACATTCCTTGCATATATGCATACGTTTATTCTGGCATGTACCCAATTAAATAATACATGTTTTAAATTAGAACACTTGTTAAACATTTTCTTGACATAAATCATACACATCCACTTTCTTGGAACTTGTTGGGTTTCCAAATTATGATTTTAATGTCATCTAGTTGTCTAATTAAAACAATAGCGTTTTTACAATATATAATCCACATAATAAAAGGAACATAAAAATGTTGTAGGAACTTTATTTCTCATAATACGGGAATTAAAAATACTGATCTCATGTAAACTATTAATTCCAATTTCAATATATAATGTGTATATAAATATTTATATAACTGTGTCCCCATACCCTACCTTTTGCAAATTTGCCGTGTCCCGTCCCGTACCGATACCCACACCCATGCAACATAGATTATCAATGTTACATTAAACGCTGGGCGCTCCTGGGCGCCGGACTTGGCGCCCAGCGCTTAGACGTCTAGGCGGGCGCCTAAGCGGTTTCTGGGCGGTTTTTTTCTTCTGGGCGGTTTTTTTTTTTAATTGTGATACTTGAAGATAAATATATATACTCAATCAACAATACATAAATACAAAAATACCAACACAACACATATGCTATCCAAAGTATAATAGTCAATCAAAGATGCATACATACTAAATGACAAGGCATATAATATCCAATAACTAGAAGTTTATTATCCTCACAAGTAATAAGAATCTATCAAACTTGAACCAATCAACACAGATTTTTCCTTTTTAAGACTTGAACCCAATAAAAATTATCAACACAGTTACACAAGCCTACAACATCAAATTAATGAGAACCCAAAACTTGAAGACGAGCTCGGAATAAAAAAAAAGGAAATTAAAATCGAAATAAAAAGGATTAGGGTTTTACGAAGCGAACTGTCAGCTAAAGACGAAGACGAAGACGAACTGTCGAAGACGAAGACGAAGACGAAGACGAGCTCGGTTGGAGACGAAGACGAGCTCGGTCGGTCGGAAGTCGTCGAGTCGAAGGCGAGCTCGGTCCGAAGTCGTCGAGTCGAAGACGAGCTCGGCAGGTGAGATCGAAGACGAACTCGGTCGGAAGTCGTCGACGTCGAGTCGAAGACGATTAGGCTTTTTTTTTATTCGGGTTTTTGGGAGCGCCCAGCTCAAAATTTGCCTATGGAAAAGTGGGGCGGGCCGCTTAAGCGGCCCGCTTATCCCTGGGCGGCCGCCTAGGCGCTCCCAGCGCCTAGACGTGGCCGCTCAGGGCTAAGCGACACGCTCTGGGCACCGCCTCCGCCTAGGCGGGCGCCTAGGCGGCCGCCCAGAGCGTGTTTTACAACACTGTAGATTATAGATGAGATCAGAGTTTTGATGTTTTGTGCAACAGGCTAATGGTTATGCTTTTACCTTCTTTTTTTTAAGATGGGATAACTTGTACGGGAACCAATGTAAATTATTGATTATGTAGGAGCTCTTGTCAGTAACCAGTTGACTAGTAATTAGTTTATTCAGGTCTCGGTAAGTTTAAAAACTCCCTAGCACTTATGAAGCATTTTTTTTTTTTTTTATTTTTGGCTGCTTGCTAAAGAAGCATACATTCCTTCTGGAATGGCTTTATGGTTTATTGCTGCTATTTTGATGCTTCAATTTGTTCAGATGGAGCACCAACCTCCTTGACAAAAATGTGTAAAACTAAACGTTCACTATGGTTTCATAGAGAAAAATAAACATTCATAAAGTTTGAGGCATTTTCCCTTGATTGTAGGCACTAAAAAGTAAAGAATTAGACTCCATCATGCCTGTTTTGTTTCATAATTCATTTTATGTATTGAGTCGTTGAACAATAATGCAGGGTCGAGGGGCAAAAAGAGAAAGGGTCAGTCTGGTCTTGAGGTAAGATGTACAATTTTCTTACTACTTTAAAAGACTTTTTTCGGTATATTTGAAATTGTATGTGTGAATATGTGTTAATAGTTTTCTGTTATTTATGGGAATAAGACTGTGCGTCACAACACGCAAGTAATTGTTGATTTGTTGATTGTATTGGTCATGATTAAGTAATTGTTGATTTGTTGATTGTATTGGTCATGATTGTGATTTTTTTTTTGTTTTGTTTTGTTTTTTTCTTTTTTTCCTTTTTTTCTTTTTTAAAGAAAAGGTCCAAAAAAGTAAATTCAGGATCATGATTAACTGTAAAATAGGCAAAAATTATGTCCATCTCTTGGTAGCACATTAGTATATTTCCAAGATAACCTCTTCATAAAACATTATCCATTTGTTCAATTATAGTACTATGCAATTGGACAACTTCACTGATTTGTATAATATATCTTTGACTACAATTTTGTGTCTTTGATCGTGGTATTTAAACTCAAATGGTCCTTTTTGGTATGTTCAATATTACCTTGCACCTTTTTCATTTGCCTCTTGAAGACGTAATGCCACATGGTTTATTTAAATATTATATTGTATCCTAATGTGAGATTTTTCACTCCCAAAATTGAAATCGTAAACCTTAAAATGTCTTTCAATGTACCAATTATATATCATAATTTAAATTTTGGCAAAAAATGAAACAATTTCCAGTTGATTGGTTGTGTATGTTTCAGATTTTTGACTCTATAGGTTGATCATTGTTCTAAATATTGAATGTCAGGGACATGGCAGATGGAAAAAATTCCATATCTCGGATGCTGGAAATCGGGGATATATAGGAAATATTTAATAAATATCAATGATTTATAGTGGATAATGTGTGTCTGTTTATCATCAATGTTCTACTTGATGTACCAGAGAATGGAGCTGTGGAGAAAGTTGGTATCTTTTGCAAAACATTTCCGAAAGAATTTGATCTCAATTGAACCCTATTTATTCTTTCTGATTATTCACGTAAGCAGACATTTGCTTGGGTTTAGGGCTCAATTGAATCATAATTCCAAACCTATCTTTTAAAACAAATAGAAGTGCAAATCAACATTGCACATTTCAGCCCTTTTGTGGACCGAATTGTCACCTGACATCGGGGAAATCATGATATATCGCCTAAATATTGCCAAAAACCATAAAGGGCATTGAGCATTTTGTTTTGCAGGAAACTTTATAAAAGGATATGTCGGCAGATGTATTAGTCATGTTGGGGATAGTTAAAACAATGAGCTTGATTACTATTTTCTATGATAAATACCCGCCTTAGATAATGAGACAGTGTATCTATGTGCTAGAGCCTGGATAGAGGTGTAGTTAGCAAAATTATTTGAATAATCTTCAAGGCAAATAGAACACTAACATACAGTTTTGTTTGTTTTCCGGTTGCATGATTGTCTGATTTAGTAGTTCAGGTGGAAGTTGTAAACCCACAATTCTCAATTTATATCTTAGGATTATCTTGACTTTAACCTATTAGAGCATCTCCAACAGCTTCTTCAAAATTTTCTTCAAAATGGGGAAGCAAAAGTCATATTCTCCAACTAATTTTTACACAAACTCCAACAGCTTCCCCATTTTGAAGAATCAATTTTTTCCTCTAAAAATTTGGAGAATGCTGCAGATTTGGGGAAGCTTCCCCATTTTTTCTCCTCCATCCAAATTTGGAGAATGCTGCAGATTTGGGGAAGCTTCCCCATTTTTTCTCCTCCATCCCTATTTTGGGGAAAGAGATGGGGAATCTGTTGGGCCAAAAACCTAACTAAATTCTCCAAAAGTGAGAAATGGGGAAGCTGTTGGAGATGCTCTTAGAGCCATTTGTCTAGTTTTCTATCTGAAAAATATGGTATGCATGGATGGATGTTGACAATATTGCTCTAATTGAAATTTTCAAGAGCCTTTTAGATGATGAGTCTTGATGACTCAAAAGTGATTCCTTAGCTCTATGATGGTTTGGTTAGATTTTTTCTCTGTTTAAGATTGTTTGCAACCTTACATAACTTATATTAGGTAAACCAAGGAAATTGTCTGGTAGTCTCTCTATTCTATTTGCTTAGAATTATATGAAATTGATGACTTACAGAAAGTTTTGTGTCTAATTTTCATGTCATTTTGAGCTGCTAGTTTGTTACTATTGTGAGCGTATTTTCTTCCTTCTGTGAGTATGAAATATCCCAGTAGTCTGGTCTTGCTACGTTGTTTAGTAAAATGTTACACGCTGGAACAGCAATAAAGCCTTTTATCCCAATTTTTTGATATTAAGTCTATGAAGACTTTTTCTCTATTCAGCCCTTACTGGATGTTCTTTCCTCTTCTGATCAACCATCATGCCTAACTTTGTTCAGAATCTTGATAGCATTTCATTGTCTGCCTGACATTATTTGTTATGTCTCACAAACATTTCATAGTCCCTTAATTTCTTGTCCAATGAGAGGTAGCCATTCCTTTGTTTATCTTTTAGTATTATTATTATTCTCTGCTTCTTCTATTGACTATTTCGATTTATGATCTTATAGTTTCTTTGTCTTGTCTCCTCGTTTTCTATATTTTTGCTAGTTGAAATATTCTATTTCTTTGAGCTCTAATGATATTTTCCCTCTTAGTAGTTGTTTTACACTTTTACTTTCTAAGGACAGCTATTACATTAGAAGAAAGGATATTGTGTTATTGCTACTCAGTCCCTATGGTTGTTTTCATATTGTGTTACCTTACCTCTATCATTAATTCATGAGTGGTGCATGCTACCAAAGAGAAACAAAGGATCTATTCCATGTACATTGACCCACGGGACAAAGAAGAGGGGTGTTGTCAATTTCAATGAGTGGGAAATCTAAGGCTAGGTTAGTTTTTGAGAGGGAGATGAAAAGTAAAATGGTGGAGGTTTTACTGTGGGAGTTATTCCAAGGGGAGTATGTCAAATTTGTCCAAACCAAACATCGTTAACAAAATTAAATGGAATGAAACAATTTAAGTGCAAGAAAAAACTTGTGGTATATGAGTGCAAAGTTAGGTAAACTATAAGGTATTAAGTTCTATTTAGCCTAATCACTGCATCTGATGTTTTTTTGTGGTTAGTGAGTTAACTACTAAGAACTATTATAAGCTCCAACTTTTTTTTTCAGAAACTTTTATCATCAGTATTTAGATTCTGATGGTCCATACTGTATACATCCTGCTAGGAGAAGGAAACGAGATCACAAGACAAGCTTGCCATATTGCAGTTCCCTTTGACCCTTAAGAAGCAGCTAGTTGATGATTGGGAGTTTGTGACTCAGCTTGGTAAGGTAGTTACATCCATTACTGTTATTTTTCTCCCCATATTATTTTAGCGTGCTATTAAGATTTGTAGATATTTATAAATTTGATTGTTGCTTATTCGCTCTGATCAATTCTTTGACATGCTCTGATTGTTTTCACTAGATTATTTGCACGTTCTGAATGCATTTTACTAGATTTAGTGCTGCACGTGTAGATCATAACTAGCTTCTAAAAGTCGCTATGCATCTTTATGTTCTGCAAATATTAGTCGTCGTTCAGTAAGCTTCGAGTAATGTACCTAGTCTTTTCTGGGTTGAAAATGCCTTTTGAGACTGCACCTGAGCAGATTTGTATCATTAATCTCCCACTTGTAGTACAGTTGTTATCACTTGAGCTAGGCTCATCTTTATGCTAGATTGTTAGATAGTTTATGCTGTATTATGAATAATACCAAGTAGCCAGTATAAATTGTTAAATATAAATGTCTAAATTTAACTTCGTTAAGGGGGTTTTGCACTAAAATACCGTAAATTTTTTCATTAGAGAACTACAGTTAGCATCTTACTTAACCTAACTAGTAGTAGTTTTGTCTAAGTTGATAGCACAAACAATATCTATTGAGGCAGCATGTTTAAATCCACCATTTGAATGTAACGATATAAAGACTTGGTCTTTCATTTTCTAATTACAGTTATATCGAGCTTCTTGAACTTGTAAAATTCCTCGCAGAGCAAGTGACTGGTAGTTTCAACAAATCCAGAATTCTTGTTGGTAATGCAAGGCTGAGAAGGAGATGTGTGGACAAATATATTGTTATATGATTTAAAGAGACTTTGGTCTTATTTCAGTGTTCTTTTAGAGTCCAATAACAGGCACTGGCAGATGAAAATAGGTATGTTCTCACATTAATAAGCACGGTGATGATGATATTATGTAAGTTTGCATCATCATGGTTCATGTTTTTATGGTAAATGGAAGTATTCTAGTTTTATATTGAATTTTGGGAAAATGTCCCGTATGATGATTACTATGTCAATGCAGTTTAGGTAGTGATAATGGAGAAGAATTGTGTTTTAACTTGTAAGGTTGTTTATGTTCTATGTTACTTGCTTGTTTGGTTCATTGGGGTGAGTTATTTGTTAGGTAAATCCCGTGTTAGTCGTTTGGTTCATTGGGGTGAGTTATTTGTTAGGTAAATCCCGTGTTAGTTGTTTGGTTCATTGGGGTGAGTTATTTGTTAGGTAAATCCCGTGTTAGCTGCTCTAGGTAACACATGGTATACCCAATGCATCTTTCAGAGGGACTTCAAAGCTTTCAAAACTCCCCCCCCCCCCCCCCCAACAAAAAAACAAAAAAAAACCCACACACACAATAACCCCCTCCTTCCAAAAAAGAAAGAGAAGAAATGAAAAAAGACCTAAAGATATTTGGAGTTTCTTCCAACAAGGGAGTTAACATGAATTTGTTGTCTTTGCAGCTTGTCAAGCTTCCTCGCTCACCAAATGTTGATGATATATTAAAGAAGTACCTTGATTATCGGACCAAAAAGGATGGCATGTAAGTTCAGCATCACCTTGATTTAATTTGGTTACTTGAAGTTCATTGAAAATCACTCCATCCTCTTGACTTAAATGTTCAGAAAAACACCGAGTCAAGTCTCTTTAGTTGCCTATAAATATGGAACTATATACTTCTATATTGTATGTATTTGCTACCGATTTTTTATCTTGTTCATTGTAAAGATCAGAAAATTAATTAACACATTTTATATTTTAATACTCTTTCTTACAGCTATCTTTACGGTTTCTACTATCATTTACTTATAGTTGTAAAAAATTCTGCTATCATGTACTAGGCGTAACACACACATATTTGTTCCATAAGTTCAGTTTGATTGTCACATGTAGTGCGAAAGTTGTTTTTTTTTCATACAGGACACTGTTAATTTGTGACTTCCATTACGAACACATGTAGTATTGCGTCCTGCACGCATCGCGTGCACAAGAAGACAAAAGGTTTTGTGAATTGCAAGATACTCATAAAAAAATTAATGCTTTTTTTTAATCTTATCAGTTATCATCAATTATTAAGTTGTTGCAAACACTTTCTTCGCACAAATGGGTATTGTGCATGCACGCATCACATGCATGGGGAGTATTAGCTGTAATTGTGTTCCTTTGCACATTTATCTTTTGTTCCATTTCCTGTAAAAATACCCCCCACCCCCACCCACAAAAAAATAAAAAAAATAAAAAACAAAACAAACCCCAAC